TAAATTAATTGAGTAGTACACTTTGAACCACTTCCAACAACAATTAACAGAAACTAGACCAACGATAGAATATCTCTTTCTATACATTTCTGTTTCAGTAAGCCCCAGGAATCTATTTTAATTTTATCTCATTTTCTATATATCAGATTAAATTTAAATTTGATATGTCCAATTTTTCATTAATATTTTAAAATCCAGATTTACGGAGGACCATTCACCCAAAAATCCATATCGGATCGTCCATACCAGAAGGCCTCGATTATAATCTACGGGAGCTACGCATGCATCCTCACTAATCCTCCTTAGCATTCCGGCAAACGTGTTCCACTCGACACCTTGGCAAAAGATCGTTGAACTGGATTAGATCTGGATGAGTTTAAACTGGCGATCTAAAAGAATAGTAAAATAAAAAATTAAAATTAAAATAAAAATAAAAATAGATATTTATAGGGTGGGGATTTTAAAGAAGCATAAGAAAATATTATATAAAATTAAGAAAAAAAAGAAAATAGATATTTGATTTAAAAAAAGCATAACAAAATAGATATTTATGGGACGGGGATTTAAAAGGAATCGATCATTGTTGAGTTTAAAGTACTGCTTTGCATTGTCACGCATCTACAAATAGTATCACAAAAGTATTTTAAAATTTATTAATAACCAAAACACTGCCATAAAATTCATGGGTATTTTGATAATTTTATTCATTTTAATTTTTTTAAATATTTTTAAGATCATGATGGTGAGAAGTATTAACATACAGAATTTAAGTTAAATTCAAGATATAAAAAATGATTGTATATTATGAGACCATTTATTTTTGTTCAATGAACTCACAATCACTTTTAACCATTAGACGCGAAATCCAATAGATGAAAATATCACAACATTAAAGAGATTTAATTTGTGACCCTTGGGCATCACGGTTCAACTTCAAACCAAGTATGATAACCATCTCTACCGTCTAAACCCAGTCATTTGTCTTTTTTTACTGAAAGACCAGTTTATATATGAGCTGTTCGAACCAGAATTTCACTTAAAAATAAAACTGATCCCAGGTCACATAGAAGTCCAAACAAATGACAATTCGGAAATAAGAACCACAAATAATGGGATTTGAGCATAAAATGGAAATACGGGAGACCTTTAAATGCCCAAACAAAGAAATTTTATGTAAATTTCCCTAAAAATAAATTATTTTCAAGTTCCAAAGTACCTAAAGGCCGTGCATGGCATTTTCAAAATTGAAGTTTTCCCTTTAATTTTTGGATGAAAATTTTATAGCCAATCTTCTTGTAAAATGTGTCA